GGACTACACTCATGTATTCAAGACCTAAATATAGTCTGAAGTGTTTAGGATACAGGGTTTTTGAAAGCAAAAACCACTTCCTGGTATCTTGCTTGGCAGCTACAAGGGAAAGTTTCGGGAAAGGAAGCAGTTTAACAGAAGCTAAGATAAACAGCTATCTGGAGAGGATGGTAACAGAAGATAAGTTAGTTGGAGCATCTTGACCTGTGGTTCCTAGAATCGAGTTGGGTAATTTCTCACAGGATTCTCCATCAAGATCAAATTTTAGTAAATCTAAAATGGTCTCAGCAATACAAGATGAAGGAACCTCTGCACTGTCTTACCTGTCACACTGTCATCCTCTATTTTGGCCAGGACCTGCAGGCCTAACAATGTCAAGATGCTTTGTTTTCCTTTCTTCCCCTAAACATGATGATCCAAGGTCTCCTCAGAACTGAGGGAATAGCAGTGATGAACAAAAGAAGTGGGAGTCAAGAATCTTGGAATATGCTCACCTGTTCTGTCCTCAGAACTTTAAGATTCCATCTGGGTTTCCATGTTAAAGGAAACTTTGGGAAAGCCCCATGTTGGATGCTTGATGTTACTGGGGAAACTGGGGTTCCCTTTCATAGGCTCTTAGTTTGTTAATAAAAGGATTTAAAATATGGTCTCAGAAGGAAGTTTGGGGACAATTTTAGTAGTTTAAGAAAAACAGAGAATGGAGGTCAGCACCATTGTTTTGTTCAGTAATTAAATTTCTGGTATTCTCTTAGCTTTTATAACCAAAATAGGTACTTAACTTGCTTCTCTGGTAAGCTTGACTAATGAAATGAATTTCATAGACACCTCTGGTGACCAGTTGTTGGGGGAGCTAGAGAGGCATCAGAAGTTGACACACCAGTGACTGTTACTGGACTTAGTGTCACAGCCTGTGCCCTACCAAGCCATATTTAGTTACCTGTCCTTGATAAGACAATTAAAAAATCCAAATCAATAGTGAAAGGAGATTTTTACTCAATGTAGCCATAGAAGGAAGAGGGCAAAGATACACTGACACCCTAACAGCATCTTCTGGGTCCTCAAGTGAGGTTAAATAGTCCTGGGCCCATCATTGTTTTTGTTCTACCCACCTGCAAGTTGAAAACATTTCTAGGAGAAAAGTTTCCTTTCTGTCTGACTCAGGCTTTAGGCTTTCTCCCAACAATACTTTTTTTTTTTTTTCTGGAGAAATTCCAATTCCCTAAGACCCATCTTTTCAATAGTGAGATATACAAACTGAGGAGAGCAAGTGTCACTTCTGAATATCTTCATTTCTGTCAAGCCAGTTACACAGTGAGATGGCAAAAGAATATAGAACTGGTGTCATCAGTTAGCTTCCCCTTAATCACTCTTTACTGGACAAGGTCTGTGACTGAGCATGTGGCTTTTCTGGAGGTTTGTTCTATTATTAACACTCATCTCCATGCAAAGGTCTACAAGAAGTTTCCTTAAGGTGTTTTCTACCTTTAGTTTCTTCAGTTTTGCTGTGTGCCTAACCTTTAGACGGTTGTGGTTTGGCCAAATTTCCAACCTGAGTTATTAACAATACACCTGCTTTTTTTTTTTATTAGTTCAAATTAGGAACAAGCTTGTTTCACATGTTGATCCCTTCTCCCTCTCCCTCCCCTCACCCCTATCCCTCTTCCCCAACCCCCAACCTACCCCCCTCCCCATCTACCCACCACTCCCCAGGCAGGGCAGGGCCCTCAAAGGGGGCTCTGCAAAGTCCATCAAATCTTCCTGTTCTGGTCCTGGGCCCTTCCCCATGTGTCCAGGGCCAGACTCCCCCTTGTTTAGGCCAGCTGTTCCTGTGGGTTTCTCCAACCTGGTACCGACTCCTTCGATCTTCATTCCTTCCTCTCTTCAACTAAGTTCCAGAGTTCAGTTCAGAGTATATCTGTGGATGTCTGCCTCTGCTTCCATCAGCTACTGGATGAGGGCTCTAGGATGGCATAAAAAGTAGCCATCAATCTCATTTTAGGGGAAGGGCGTTTTATCCTCTCCACCATTACTTGGATTGTCAGTTCGTGTCATCCTTGTAGGTCTCTGGAAATCTCCCTAGTGCCATATCTCTCCTCGGACCTATAATGGCTCCCTCTAATATGGTATCTCTCATCCTGCTCTCTCTCCTCTATTTATCCCCCAACTCAATATTTCTGCCCCTCCATTTACTCTCCTCCACTCTTCTTCTCCTGCTCTCAATCTGGTAGCTCCCTCTCCCCTACCTCATACTTCTAATTAGCTCAGGAGTTCCTGCCTCTTCCCATTCCTGAAGTCCATTCCTTTATCCCTTAGAGTCCTTCATGTTTCCTAGTTCCTTTGGTGAAGAGGAT